GTGGCCTCTCCAGCCCGCCCGTCTGCCCTCACCCGCCCAGAGCTGGCCCCTGGCCTCCCGCGGGCCTTCCTCGGGGGGCACTGGGGCACGCACACCGGCCCTGGGGTCTCTCCCCCTCCCCATGGGACTGCCGGGATGCGTCTGCAGCGAGGGGGCTACTCTCAGGCTGCTCAGTGCACCCCCTGACGGAGCCCACGGTGCTCAGGGCCTCAGGGAGAACAGTCACTGAGCGAGAAGGGGGGTGCGGGCCCTTGGGCAGTGGGAGGGGAGCCCTTGGGCAGTGGGAGGGGGGCCCTGGCCCCCCTGGGCAGGCGCCCCCAGATTCTGGCCTGCCCTTTGCCCCGCCCTCCGCTGCCCCCGGCTCACCTTCTTATCACCCTTCTTCTTTGCTTTGACCGGGTTTTCCTTTTCCTTGTTCACGGCCAGTTTCAAGTTTTTCAGCTCCTGCCTCATCAGCTCATCAACCTGGGCGAACACAGAACACGCCTAGCGCCTTGCACGCGGCGTTTCCTTGGTGGGAGAGGCATGGCGGCGGGTCCGCACAGCGGCGCGCGAGGCCGGCTCACCTGCCCGGCGGCCTACCTGCAGCCGGATCTCCGACTCCAGCTCTCTCCGCTTCTCCTCTTTGATCAGCTCGGGATCGTGGCCCTGAGCGAAATTCCATGATTCATCTTTGTTCTTCCAAATGTCTACACTCCAGGCGGGGAGAGAAAAACAACCTTTCTCAGCCGGAAGGCGACGCCAGCGGCATCACGCCACGCCGTGAGCAGGCTCGTGGCCGCCGTGTGAACGGGCCCCGGCACAGGGGCGGGAACCCCGGGCGCACGCGCCTCCCGGCACACGGGGGCTTAATGGGGGTGACAAGACCGCGTTTACTGAGGTTTAGAACATTCCCCTGCCTGCGGCTTCGGCCCTGCATTAGACCACGGTGAGGGCCACGGTGGGCCACGGTGGGCCACGGTGGGCCACGCCGGGCCACGCCGGTATCCGGCCAACGTGTCGGGCGTCTGTGGCTACTCTGATCGCTCCCCTGCTTCACTGAAACGCGGACCTCCTCGCTGCCGCTTGCTCTCCTGGGGAGGCCCCACTGGCACCTGCCCGAGGCCGTGCTCCCGCGGTGGGTGTCCTGGAAAGCCCCCCACTTTACCGCTCCCTCTGCCAGGCCCGGCAGCGAGGAGACGCTCCAGAGACGCGGCTCTAGAGCTGTAGCACAACTGGGGCCCCGGAGTAGAGGGAGGTGCACTCATCTCCAGAGAGGGAATTGCCGCGGCAAGTGCTGTCCAGAACCCGGGGCCTGGGGCTAGTGGGGCTCGTGGGGTACCCCGCCGGAGGCCCGACTGGCCAGTTGGAGAAACGCCTGGACCCTGTGCTTGGGGCGGGG